CACTTCGCGGCGAGGCAAAAATACATATAATCTCAAAACACCATTAAAAACTGTAAAATACAGAAAAATATAAAACACCAAATACAGTTAGAATAACAGTTAATTTTTTTTTTTTTTTTAAACAATTAGAATCGGAGTTTATACGCAAAAACTAGTAAGCGATTCAGCTAGCGAGAAGGAAGACAGATTTTTCGGTGCACAAAATTGCTTGCGCATGTGTACTCGGCCAAAAAGTATTGAAGTCCGCGCACAAGCTGACTTAATTTACTGTCCTACTATGAGTTTGAAATGTTTAAAAAAAAAAAAAAAAAAAAAAAAAAAAAATGGCGGCCTCGTTAAGCTCAATACCACTTAAACAATTTTTAAATTGTTGATAATTCCAAAACTACTGCATGCAGATCAACTATAGGTATAAAAACTTTAACCAGAACATAAGAACAACATAATTCAATAATTTTTAAAGGAAAAAAAAAAGCACAGTTTACCAACATAAAAGAAGAAAAACTGAGCTCACCGAGCCGGTTAATAGAGTGGGTTAACAATGGGTTAACAGAGTAACATGTATGTATATGTTTGATGCTTCCGATTGCAACCAAAAAGGGAGATGCACAAGCACATGTTATAGCAGTTCCATATACAAAATTTCAACGTTCTGAGGCTACTCTTTTTTGAGTTATGCAAGATAATACATACCTACGTACGTACAGACGTCACAAAAAACTTTCTTCTGAATCCATTTAAAAATCATTTTGGAAAAAAGAGTCCATTATGCTGTCCGTACGTACAGATGTCACGCAAAAACATCGTTCCAATGAATTGGACAGCAGCCAAAGTGGATATTTTCGTTGAAATATGACACCCGCAATTTTTTTGCAATTACAATACTTCCTTTACTTTAGGAATTAAAAATTAGTTAAATAATTAATTTTTAAACAAATAAGGAAACTAAGAACTTCCGGTTCCTACACTTGTATTTGGGAAAACTTTATACACGTTATGAAAAATAAAAATGGAAAACGTTTGACTGTCGTAAGAGGAAAATGGACCGGGTTATTTAATTTCAGAATTTGCAGTTCTGGATGTTACTTTCAACTTGCCTGGTGTGATCGGTTAATTGTTAGAATAATTCGAGGAAATAAATTTATAATGAAGTTCAGTAAAAAATGTGTGCAATTTAATAGGCGTTCCAGGAAGTCATGTGATGTCCACATCAGATTTTTTTTATTAGGATTCTAAAGGTCTGAATGAGTAAGAGTACGCGAAGATTTTAATTTTTGGATCTGGAATGTTTTCAAGATTCGAATGTCTCTAAAATTACCATTGAGAGTGACCAGGATTTTTAACATTTCATTTTTTACATCTTGTGTTCTTATAATTAATGTAGAATCCGCATCTATGTACTACGCTACATATCTTCCTCGCCCTGTGAAAAAACTCTGACACGTAGAGCCATCCAATTTTGAAGACACACCGTCCGGCACCAGAAACCTCGAAAGCCGGATTTTTAATTTATCTATTTTTTTTTTTACGAATTAAGTGAATTTTTGGTTAATAATTTCGGCGATTTAGAAAAGAAGTTCGGGGAAAGAAGCACTCTCTCCTCTGTCACAGGGAAATTTAAAAGTGAGCCCTGGCAACACTGTTCTAAATAAAATATTTTTGTCTTCAGCGCGCCAGACTGTTGCCATTCGGCAAACTGTAAGATATTTTTCAATTTTAATCAATGAAATCGGTTGTTTAGAAGCAATGCCTAGTCACTGCCGAAAAAAAAAAAAAAAGAAAAAGAAAAAAAAAAAAAAAAAAAATGCTTTTACCTTTCAGGTGTGCCACGTGTGAATTCAGCAAAGATATTTAACACGAGTGTAGCTGATTAACCAACCAAACGATTTAAAAGCAATAAATGCAGTTCTTTAGCATATTTTGTCTGCTGTTTAATCCGATTAATTTAAATAAAAAATAAAAGCATTTAAATGATGAAATGCCTAATCAGAAATATTAAATACTTTTATGAAATTACACAAATTGGACTCATTCAAATCATTATATATATATATATATATTTCCTTTTTTATAACTGTTATTTTAGGCAGCTAGCAGTTATTTTTATATATAAAATATGCTTAGATTCGCAGTATTTCTGATAGGCTTATTACTATCACTTTTAACTATAGTATTAACAAATTTAAAACAGATTTATCGGATTTAGCGGATAATGACACGAAAAGAATGGTAATAAATATTGTATTACAACGTTAATTCTTAATTCATTTACGTGGTAAAATTACTAAACAGAGAAGCCTTTCTTTTTCAGCAGCAGCCTTTAAAGCTCAAATTCGATATTCATTTTAGAACGATTCAGTTAAGTTTCCTAATACTGAATTAATTCTTGAGAGCTCTTAAGAATTATTAATTCTTGATAACTAACTTAAAGTCACATTTAAATTAGACTGAGAATAGCTAAACGTCATGCTTAGTATTCAAATATTAAAAATCATTACATTTAAAATTTAAATTGATTTGCTTTTTTATTATAATAAAAAATCTCATATCATAAGACTCGCTCATCATTGGTTGCAGACTTTAAATGAAAACTATTAAAAATCGTTGAACTCTAGGCATTTCTCCCAGAATGTTTTTCCCACTTCCGGTATCAGTACTGACGGAAGTTAGGTGATAAAAAAGGAAACAAGTGAAACTTCGCTTTTCATTCAGTTCTGAAAAGCCGTAACCGCACACAAATGCGAATAAAAAGTAAAAAAATAAACTAAAACTGTTGTCTGTTATTTCTGTGCAAATTCCAGAAAAGTTTGGACATTTTTGCAACAGATATTATATATGAAATCAGAATTTCGCAAGCTTTCACTGTAAGTAATGAAATTTATTTTAAGCATTTATGACATAAATACTAATCTTTTCGCAAATTACTTAGAAATTAATGACATAAGAAACATTCTCGGCGGAGATTTACTAACACTTTTGGATCCTAATATTGCATTAAGTTACGTTACGCAAAGACACATTTGATATTAATATACAGTCGCAAATATTGCCCTATGCGAAATGTAAAGTCTTAATTTATTTTTCACGTGACTTTTCTCGTAGATATTTCTCAACGTTGTCTCTCGACAAAGCATGCGATGTGTAATTTATTTCCCAAATTTAATCAACATGTAACTGCTTAATAGACTGGATAATCTGAAAACAAACATAGCCCTTTTTAAAAACTTAAATTTTAAATTTATTTTAATGATATAATATTTTAATAATATATTTACTTTTAATCACATAATTTTAAATACGTAATTTAATATATATTTACATAATTTTTATTTTATTTTTTAAGTTTTTGGAAATGGGAAGCACGAACTATGCACACATCGTGATTCGAACCTCCGATCTTCTAGTTGGTGAGATGGACCACGAACAGTCTGGTGGGCTGGATATAAAAATGTTCTATTTGGAGCAATGTTGCCACTGCTCTGTTTTAAATTGCCTAGTTTGTTAATAAAAAATTCATTACATTCGCACAAAATATGAAATAAATCAAAAATAGATTCAAAATTTCAGGGCTGTAGATGCCGCCGATTTTCCACATTGCGAGGAACAGATACAAACATACAGATTGTTCTATATTTAGTAATAGAGTTTGTAGCATTTTTGAACTTTTTCAGGTATTTATAAGATAAAGATAGGATCAGATTCTAAAACTACATTTTAAATGCTTTAGCAGCCATTTTCTTACACTGCTAGGAATACAGAAATAATAAAATTCCGCAAAGTAATTTCGAACCTTAAAATTCCATGGCTCCAATAAGATAAATATTAAATACTAATAAAATCCTGTTAAAAATATTTTTATACCAAAACACTAAATATATTCAGAATTTTAAACAATTTAGAGAAAATATCTATGTTTTTCAAAGAAGTTAACACAAGTCCTTCATCTCCAAGACGCGAAAATTGAAGGGAAATAAATTTCTGCAGACATGAAATTAAAACTGAAAACATTAATATCATTATCAAAGGCAAGATTAAAATTTCAGTTGTATAAGCTGGCTTAAAAATACATCGAAGTATTTAATTTTTTTTAACATTTTAAGTGAACATATTAAAATTCTGATAGCTTAAACGTTGTCTCACATTTTGGAGGAAACAAAATACACTGTAAATACTTGAGGCTTAATATTTTGAAATCCAGTACGGTTATTAAACTAGTACTGGTTGCCACACTTAACTAAAACACGCATAATTATCCAATGTAGAATTCAGAAGAAATAATTAAATAAACCATGGATTTAATAAAATACTTCGTTATATATCAATATCAAGTAAAAAATATGCTGGTATGCCCTGCGAAAGAATCAAATCTTGCAAAATAATATATCTTAAATCTCCCGTTGCCATTTTTGAATCATAAATTAGTTATTTACGATCCTATATAATATCTACCGCATTTGTAGATGCGTTACTTAGCTCCTGCTTAGCTTAGTTAAAAAATTATTAATTAGTATCTTTTACACTTTGAAAAATTTCAAAATTTACTGCATAGAAAAATCTGAGAGTTTAGTAAGAATTTTGAAATATGTGCTAACAAATAATCCTAATTACAAATATTTTTCAAAACTGATGATATTAAAGATTCTTTAGTACAACCTCCCTTTAAATAAATTGAAAAGCATATTTGAAAGATAAAATTTAGAAAATTAGTAAATAGAGTTTTCTGGAAAATATTGCTTTTTCTTTGCATATTTATTGCAAATTAAAATATTTCCTGTTTTTCTCTCAAATAATTTTTTTCCCCTTACAATAAAATAATTTCCGATTAGCTTGCAAATAAAATTATTCCAATTTATATTTTCAAACGATTACTTTTTCGATATTATAAATTAATCTCTTTGCAAAAAAAAAAAAAAAAAAAAAAAAACTAATATATGAAGATTATTGTACATTTTTACTTTTGTGTTAAATTACGTATAAAATAAAGCAAAATTAACACTCACCATTCGCTACTGCGTTTTGTAGACAAATTAAAACTATCAAGGCACTGAAACATATCCTCAGACATTTTTTGTAATTGCTGAAACCAAACTGTTCTTCCATTTTTAACGATAAATTATAAATAAAGTTTTATTTTTTTCTTGTAACAAATTCTAAATAAAAATATTCAGAATCTTTGAATTCTAAAATAACTATTACGAGAACTGTCTTTTTGCAAACCGAGATTCGGCAAATAAGTCAAGTTTTTCTCAGCCGAAAAACCCTTCAGTGACATGCAAAATAAATCATATCGCATGAAAGAGCACCTCGTCAAGTGGAAGAGATGAAATGAAGAGAGAAGGAGAAAAGATGCTGCTCTCTCTTCAGCGCCTGCTGATCGTCTGCTCTGTGGATGCTCTCGTGTTTGGCCCTGAACTTGAATCGGGAATCGAGTCACGTGATCCCAGATTGCCGCCATCTTGGTTTCTCTTTCGGGGCTTCCATTCCGGGGTCAATAGCCGTGTAGTAACGGGAAGAGGTGTTTGGTAAGAGTAGAAGGGGGAGGGGAGGGAAGAAAGAATTATAGGCGGCGTTGTTGAAGTTACCTGTCGGTAGCAGCTGTTACGAAATGAGGTGCTTTTTCGTCGCCAAATGAGTGTGAGGTTTGCCACTTTTGCGGGAATATTAAAAAAATATGCTTTTGTTTTAGAGATATTTGATCTTTCGTCGAATAAATCTCTCTCGTCTGCCGTCCAACAAAGTTGAATTGGAATTAAGAAGAAATACAAGAAGAAATTTATTCTGAAAAATTCATTAAGTAAAAATAATATTGAGAGCTGCTAACTGATAAAATTAAATCATACTGTTAAATACTATTAAAACTCAAATTAAATCAAAATTAGATTTTTTTTTTAAATCTGAGAAGGTTCATATTTTAATGGTCGCCCTAAAGGGCTCTTATAAAATTTAATATAGTTTATCAGAAAAGATTTTTAATACAGATGAACCAAGAGGATTATCGAAACATTTCACAGGATATTAGATGAATATTCATTTAGACTTAATAGGAAATGCTATATATCTCCTACCTGTTTGAAAATTAAAAAAATTGATAATGTAATTCCTTAAAAATATTTAATACTTTTAATTAGATATATCATGAATGAAATGCATTTTTATTTGAATCAATCAGGTTTAAAAAAATAATAGTAATATTCTTAAGAACTGAATATACGCTTTTAAATTTTCTAACAGAAAAAAAAAAAAAAAAAAAAAAAAAATCAGAATAGAACAGAAAGGTTAAATATGAAAGATCTTACATTTTGCCACACTCGAAAGAAAAGTGAAATAATGCATTTAAAAATAATGAACTCAAAATCGTGTTTCGAGACTAATAGAGCTTATGGGCTTAAAATGTTTTTATAAAATAATATTTTATTTGAAACTCATAAAATAATTTATGAATTAAAAGAACAAAAATAATTTATCAACTAGTTTCACGGGAGCGAGAAATTAAATAATTAGCTTTATAAAATTCATTAACAATTTTGTGTCTGAAATTATAAGAGCGTGAGTCACCCTTGATAAAGTTATAAATATAATGGTTTATATTTTCGATAATGTAATATGAATTTCGTTATGGGTGCCCACTCTTTGATTATTAGTGATGTGTTCTCCTGTGAAGTGTTAGTGTAGTTCTCCTGTGAAAAGACAGATAATTTACGTCCATGCCTTCTCCGGGGGGTTCAAATCCGGACCCTTCGGTACGGCAATCAGGATCACTAACCACCTTCTCGTTTGGGCGGCGAATGTAAATGTAAGCTATTAGTCTTTCAGTTTTCTCTACAGATTTGGCTTTTTAAAGTATATATGTCGTTTTGCTTGAGATAAAATACTTCTGTTATGCGCGCGTCGGCGTGTTGCCATTCAATAAAGCGTAAATTGTTTAATTTTGAAATTTAATCTGCCTGATATTCAATAACAAACTAAGGGATTTAAGAGCATTAAACGCAGTTACTTATCTCTGTTATTATTAATTACGATTTGAACTCGTGAAATCACATTTGATGGGATTTATTAAAAACATTTCATATTTTCTCTTTTGTTTGTGTAACAACTTTTTGAAGCCGCTTTCAGACCCAGAGGAAGGGATTTGCGGTTTAAAAAAGCGCATTGGAAAAAACTAATCGAACAATATTCTGATGTAAGTTTTAATTTTGTATGATTAGTATATTAACTTTAAAACATCAAACTTTCTCGCTCTCATCTTGGATGTTAACTAAGGATCTTCTTTTATCCGGGATTTAAACTATCTTGAGGGTTCATTTTAAAATAAAGTTCTCAGAGTTAACCTGTTGAACTTAAAGAAGAAAAAGAACATTCGTTTCTCACAGATAAAAGGTTATAGTTTCTTCAGATCATAATTCAAAAAGAAATAAATAAAATAAAAAAGTTTATGCTGGTTGTTCCATCTCGTGAAAATCTTTACACACACAAAAACTTCGAAAGAGAGAAAATTACGGTCTCATTTTTTTCTCCCTCGATTAGTTTATGTCAAATACATTACGCGATTACAGGCCAATTGTCGGCTTAACCACCAACGTTTCACGTGTTGTGCTGCCACCGCTATTTGCAAAAAAAGTCTTATTCCTTTGACAGCTGATGAGGTAGCTTCTTTCAATCAATGTATTTATCTTCTTTTGTTTTGGAGCCACTTTTTCATTTCTTTTTTAATATAAAGCTTTGCAGAAAGCTTAATGCTGAGAAAGCGAATCTTTTTTCTATGTATTTTCTTAACAGTTATTATTACTAGTACTAAGAAGGTTAGACTTTGGTATTAAATGTACGTCGAAAACTTATTAGCTAATATTTAGGAAGGATTTAAAAATATGTTAATACTAACCGCATGCGCAGATGGCCGCCTGAAAGTTTTATGAAAAAAATATAAGTAATAATTTTATGAATCCAGCTGATGTAATTTCACAGGTTCAGCTAGTAATTAATAATAACTGAAATAAAATGTGTTTATTGTTTTTAAATCGCTTAGTTTTAGTAACAGAATAAATCTGAAAGAAAAATTAAAATATCTTACAGTTTGCTGAACGACAATGCACTGCCGCGTGAAAGATAAAAATATTTTAATTCAGGCAGAGCAATATATTTTTTTTAAATCGCAGAATTCGTTGATTGAATTTGAAAGACAAATATATTTCGTTTTGCTGAGTGACAGAACACTTCTTTTATATTGCTAACTTTTCCGGTTAAATTTGAAGCACAAATATTTTACGCTTTGCAGAGAGACAACACATTGCTTTTAAAATGCTGAGTTTTTAATCAGAAGTTCCTGAAATTCGCTAAAAACATGTAATAAATGAAAATTAAATTGGAAATTCAAAATTCAGGCTTGGAGGTACACATGTTCAGGGGTAGGACTAGGTGTGCTTAAAATTGAATTGTTGTAAGTGCCGGTGTTTTTCCATAATGGGACGTACATACATTTCATACAGATTTTCCATTATTTAATAGTAAAGAGTAATATAGAGATCGCAGAGCACTTTTTTAACGTAGCGGCTTTTATTCGGTAAACGTTTGGATCGGAAATTATCATCAGCGTAATAAAATGAATCTTTCAAAATACTCCATTTTTAATTGCATTTATCTGCATTTTTTAATATAATTTTACATTTAAGTGTTATTTTACACCACTGTGTAATAAATTAAACGTATTGTACTCGTACTAGATAACAAGCGGACTCCAAATACTTTAACCGACAATTTCTTTTGATGTAATGGTGGATTAACAAGTTGATTGCAATCCTTTATTGCATTGGATTTTTTCTTCTTTAGTTTCACTCAAACTGTAATCTTCTTTTTCAAACAATAACGTACTTTTTGGTATTTATTTTTTCAAAGCATTTTCTATTGAAAACGAAACTCGGAAATTGATGAAGAAGTTGCCAAAATTGAAATTCTTTTCTCTTTCGAATTGAGTTTTAATTTTATATAAAGATTTAGTCTTTTCAGTTGGCAACATAGCTGTTATGTTTATTTATTTAATAAAGAAATTCCTTTCGAGATGCTAGAACGCAATGTGAAATTTTCAGAATGTGTAAGATATTTTGTATTTTTTCAAGTTTTTGAACACTTCCTTGAGGTGTTGATCATTTTTTAGAAAAACTGAATTTGGTATCCTAGTAAATAAAAAGTACTGCCACTTTAGCGAAATGTTTGTTGCAAGGCGAAATGTTTGTTATCCTATCATCTATGGGTGTGTTTGTTTTTCCGTCTGTAACCTTTTCGAGTTATTTATTCATTTGTCAATCACTACACTGAACGGGGAAAGAAAAAACTGATAAACAAATGATTCTCAAACGAAAGGTTGGATTAATACTATCTGCACAAGTCCTAACTGAGGCACCAAACTCCAAATCTCACTCCCTCTTAAAATTTATAGACTAAAGGAAAAGAACAATTTCCCAGTTCATCAAGGGAAAAGCATCGAACTTTGTGCGCTAACCACGCTAGCGCTAACTTAAAAGTGTTGATTTTGAGTTTTTGAAGCGTTCATTATTTCGTATTGCTTACGAGTGAATCCAACTTTGACAGTAATCATTTTTACTCAAAAAGCTGGCTTTTCTGGCCCTTGAATTTGATTTATTTATTTTCTCGGTTCATTGTAAGGTTGCAGAAAGATTTCGCTTAGGACGCAAGAGCTGGGTTCAGCTGTATTACAGAGAAGCATCATTTATGCGTTTATCATAAATATAGCTTTCATCTTGATACCTATTTATACTTCTACTACGATTCATTCCTTTTCATATTAATAGCAAAATATTTTACTTATACGATGCATAGCTTCAGTTATACATGGTTTGCCCCCACCCTAACTCATTCGATTACGTTCATTTTCTCAGCTGCAAAAGTCTCATTGAGAGCCATGTTTTTTTTTTTTTTTTTTTTTTTTTTTCTCTCCGTAGCATCCAGAAGTTGTTTATTAGGATAGGAGGAATAAAAAGGAACACGCGGGATACCATGTTCAATCCGTCTAGCAAGGAGATTGCTTGGGGAAACAAAACGACGATGGAATCTCTGACCAGACAGGTTTACTGTTAGGAGATTTTGTATATCTCCATCATTTGGTAAAATTATTTTAACTAAGTCTTTTGTTTTTATAATGCTTCAAATCAAAATAAAATGTCATGTAGAGAACTTTTGTTTTTGAAAACTTAACATCCCTATACATATTAAAATTCTCCTATAAAATTTTTTATCTATTCAAAATGAGTCTGCTGAGATAAAGAAAGGATCATTCTCATTTTTTATACTAAATGAGAATTTGAATTTGAAAAAGTTTTGAATTCTTGTCGTTTAAAAGTGAAACATTAGAATTTTT